CCCTTGGCTGCCTTGTGCCCTGCTGTGGGGTTTCTTCTTCTCTGCATCTCACAAGGCTCCTTTTCGGATTTGGGGAGTAGTAAGCTATAAAATTACTATTTCACAAATCATATTGGTGAAGCTATGTAATATTTTGTAGCATCTATAAAAGTTACTCCAATGCAGTCTGCTCTATGGCCTCCCCACACACCGACCCCTAGCAGTATGGTGTAAAGCACCCTCAATGTCAGGATGCAGGATTGTCTTTCATAGTCTCCCAACTTGTTTTTCCTCTGTGAAGGTGTCCTGTGCTAGACAGGATTTCAGAGCACGTTGGCATTTTCTGATGATTGCTTTCAACAGATGTCTTGCTTCTTTTTCATATTATCTCCTCTAATCACCAACCTGACATATCTTTTTTATTATATGGCTGATGAAATAGCACACACACACACACACACACACACACACACACACATACATCCCAAAGAAACAACTAAGAATACCTAACTTACTCAAGTGTAAACTGTTACCAAATTTTCTGTTTTTCATAGTTGATTTTAATTAAAAACACAGAAACTGTTGCCTTTGTTCTCCTTTTAGACCTGTTTCTTTGTTACTATAGCAATATTTTTTTTCTGAAACAATGAAAGTTCATCTAACATAAATCATTAAGAATAACAACAAAAGGTACAGATAGTTTACATTGAGAATATTTATGTTACCTCCAAAGTATAGGAATACCTCTCCTTTCTGTTTCTTTTAAATTTAGTTTTATTTCTGCATATTTCTCTTTGTGTTTTTACTTTGATTATTTGTGATGCTGTGGATTGAGGCCAGCTCTCCATCACTGAGTTATACCACAGGTTTGTAGCACAAGCTCTAATTCAACAAACTGTCAAATTCAGGATGTAAGCAAAAGACTATTCACAAGAGCAAAGAACAATAGATGGAGGGAAGAATGAAAGAGTAGAAATAAGGAAGGATAGTAAGAAACAAAATATAGAAAAACTGTAAGGAGAGAGGGAAGAGGATCAAGAGGAGGAAAGCAAAAATCCAGATACAGAGACCAGAAATCTCCGTAATCATTTAAAACTTCATGGAAAATTTTGAGGCACAAAGAGAGGAACTTAACATTTGCAAAATAAAAACAAATTGCTTAAGTTGGGGAAACCCAACTTAATAATGAATTGGAAAAATATCAGTACAATGTATGTGCATTACAAATGTGAGACGGTGTAATTGTGGTGGAATGGGTTAGTAGGATCACACTGACATAACTAACTTTAGAAATGAACAGAGTATGTAAGGCAGAAGTAAAAAAAAAAAAACTGTAAGCATGACATTAATTGAGATATATGTCCATTGGATACAAGTTCACAATTCAGTTACTGTTATTGAGGTACACTAAAATTGAATGATTAATTATGTGGATGGAGGCTAGTGGCGCTTAGATTTCTCTCTGCAAGAGAGGAAGTTTACTGACAAAACAAGGATAAGTGGCCACAATAAGCCCAGTAATAATGGGTTACAGTTCGAGATATCAGTCAATACTGATATTTAGGATCATATAGACATAACAGCTACATACAGAAATATTTACTCTTATGTGTATATGTACTACTTAGCAATGAATGCATATATTTCTTTGCATTGTCAAATGAGAGGACCTAGAGGCCATGACACCTCAAGAATAATAAACATAACCCATGACCAAGGTCTTATTTCTAATGCTATTCCCCAACAAAAGATACCAGGGTTTGTGAAAAGCATGACTGGCTCTAAGAAAAGGGCATAAAAATTCAAGATGAGTATTAAAAAGGGAGGGACAGGCTAGGGGCCACGTGGAGCCCACTGAGAGGCTCACAGTGGTGAGAGGTGGGCGGAATGTGAACAACAGAATGAACACACTGTTTGGGATTATAAATTAAAGAATAAAAAAGTGTATGAATTCATAGCGATATAAATAAGTGATTAATAAAGAAATAAATTGGAGTAACAGGCAAACCTTTGCATACAGTTTCAAATTATTTTATGTAGTTCCTCTGCCTAGAAGAATGAAACAAAGCTTGCACTCTTTAAACATTAACTCTGCAATGTGACTTTTTTTCCAAAAGACTACACTGGAAAGGAGGAGAGATTTGGCACTGTGATGCAGCAGCCTCAGAGGGTAACTCTGCCAGGCGATCCTGCTTCAAGGCACTGTGTTGTGGTGCTGATCCATCTAAAGGTCATATGCTGTGGCGAAGCAGCCCTGTTTCTGTGGTCTTCCTTCCAAAAACATGTCTCCCAGTTTAATCATGAAAATGCAGACACCAGTTCCAGCACAAGCACACCTACCAAATACCTTATTAGTATTCCTGAAAACCACAAGTTCATCAAAATACAACAATAATCTGAGAAATTCTCTCAGTCAAGAGATGTTCAGAGGACAAGTAATGGTTTCCTGTATGTGAACTCAGAAGAGAAAAATTATATTAGATTAAATATTAGGGAAGGTTAAAAATCATTAAATTAATGATTGATCAATAATATTTTAATTAATAATTTTGCATGAGTATGTTAATTTAAATGAACAATAATAAAATATAGCATCAACAACTAGAAATAGTGTGAATGAAGATACATTAATTCACAGGACTGTCTTCATAATGTTTCTTTAAATTACTGACATACTAAAGCAAAAGGGCTAATTTTTAAAGAAAAATATAGATGAAATAAAGGGAAGGACATAGATATACACATGGAAAGAAATTCCTGATTGATGTTTAACTTGAAAATAAGATATTATTTATTTACACGTTACCTTAATGTATGCAGCATGTAGAGTGCCCACTAATGTGGAACTGGTAAAAAGAACACAACGTATTTTAATGCCTTTGTCCTTTCCCTTTCCTCCATCCATTGCTTGATGTCTTTCCTCTTTGAGAATGAGATTCTTACCCTTTATTATATTATATTTTTTTTATTTTTACTCTGAATTTTTCACACAGGGATCTATGTGATATTTTAACTTGTGTGTCTGGTTTATTCCACTTAGCATTTTGGTCTCAAGAAATGCATTTGGTCTCAAGAAAACATCTGTTTTCCTGTAGATGACTCAGGTTTATCTTTATATAAAGTAGAATAGTACACCCTTGTGTGAAAATCCATTTTCCTTACACAGCCGTCTCTTGATACACTCATAGGCTGCTCACAAGATTTAGCTATGATGAACTGTGGTGCTATGAACATGGGTTTGCCTGTACTACTGTAATATGATTGATTTTAAAACAAATGGATTCTTTCTCTAAGTCTCTAGAATTTTACAGGTAGATATCTTGTAGTTAATGATTTATCACAACATGGTCATGTGCTGGATTTCTGGAGATTTTTCTTGTCAATGCATTCGTTGAACATATTCTTTGAACGGAAGTCTGCATTGCTCATTTTGCTGTCTTATCAGAATCCTTGTCCTTCAAACATACTTAAATATTATAAATAAAAATTAGTTGCACTTAATTAAAATAGCCCCTAAAAGTATCATGTGGTGTTGTTTTATTATTTAGCTATTTGTAACTGAAGCCCAAAGACAATTATTTTCAAGAGTTCTGAATTTCAAATTGAACTATGTTTCACATACATGAACATCATTAAAGATCTATGTTGTAATTTGATATGTATACTATATTTCTATTAATATTTTCCTCAGATCCTTTAATAGTTTAGAAATTGTATTTTCAAATACATAGTCATTCTGATATTAAAAATGAAATATTTTTATTAACCAAAATTGTATATTTTTATGAACTTGTCTTTTAAATTTGATGATGTCAGAATGTTAATATAATTGACAATTCTTTAAAATGAGGAAGATTTTTATTATATTTCATTGTACTCTGTAAAACTGAAAACTTAATTCAAATGTAAATCATAGCAAGATGGGAAAATGAACCCTGAAGTAGTATTTGCTGAGATTTGGGGTTTTGAATCGTGTATGCTTTCCATTTTGCTTAGTTTGTTTAAGTTCGTTGAGTTAGAGCCTTGGTTTATTCTCATAGATTGTTATAATACTTGACAGAAAAAAGTTATTGATAGAAAATAATAACATTGTGCTTTAGGATTTATTTTACACCAAGTAAACACATCATGCATTTTGAAAACCTATTCTTCAAGAGAAAAAAAACACAAAACTTTGTATTTATGAATATGAATACTGTACATACCATGTATGCAAGATAAAATGTATGCTTGGCTTTTACCCTTACTGAACTCCAGGTTTATACTGTCATGGCTGGTGAAGTGAGTAACAGCAAATTGTTGTTTAAAATCTTGAACATCTTCTGGATTAGAATTTTATACTGAGAGTTCATGGTGATGGAGGAATTTCAGGGCAGACTCTGCTTGCATCTGCTATAAACAAAAACAGATTTCCAACTAGTAATTGAGCCCAGGTTTTTCTCTGATCTTACTTTGTATCATGTGAACTGGAGCCTGAGGTTTTCAGATGTGATGTGAACAGCGGTGTACCAAGCCACAGGCAGCCGGCTGCCTCCTCACTCAGGAGAGCTGCTGTCGCAAATACCTGTCACTGTGTCTAATGGCAGCTTGTGAAGCAGCAATGCTGCAACACACATAGAGGAAAAGTGCACTAAAATTAGTGGTCCTTCACTGTTTCAAATCTAATTAGTAGTATATAAGAAATGTAAACATATCACACATTTTATGTAAGCCACTATCTATGTATTGCATAAAAAAGAAAAAGGATAACACTGTTTCTTCTACTCAATTCATTTAACAATTTCTGCAAATGAAGTAAGGCTAAGCAAGAAAAACAGAGCTCCTCCTATGGAATTAATAGGTTTCAAATTGTTTTCATATTTTGCCCCTTCAAAATGATTCGCAAAGTGAAATGCATTATTTTTTCCTTAAACTCTTCAGAAGAAGGAAGGTAGACAGGTATTTATAGGGGGTGTTTTTGCTCATATAAAAATGATATGCATCAGATGACTCACTGAATCTGTATTTCTTTTCTTTCCTAGGCATGTGGCTGTAATGAAACCTGGGCCCTCAAAATTACATTCCTTACAGCACACATATTAGCCTGTCAGTCTTCTGAGTTCAGCAATATCTATATTTCTTTTTCCCAAATTGTGAACCTGAAAGCCAAGAAATGACTAGGTGATGCTGGGCAGACCCTAATAACTAGTCTTTTGAGCAATCTGGGGTTGGTTTGCCACTGCTGGCTCAGCTCAGTACCAGACTTGAAATGTATGGTACCACACAGAGTCCTGCCAACACTACCCTGATGGACAACGCCCAGCTTGAATGTGTCCTAGTGAGATTTTGGAAGGCTTCAGTGTGTTTTCAGCCCCGGAAGTCACGAAAGCTTTACCAAATTAGTTCTGCCTACTTGAAGGTTCATGTAGATTCCAGTGACAGAGGGCTGGGTAATTGGTCGTAAGTTTGGTTCCCCGGAGCCTCCCCACCACCAAAATCAAATTCGACTGACAGGATCCAAACAAATTCGAAAGGACACAGCAACACAACAATGTCACATTTTGAAACATCTTTGGGGAAAAATAAAAAGCAATTTGAGCCTCTGTTTTCCATATTGTGTTTTTCATTCATTTTAATTAATGTTAACAATTTTCTTCTTTAAACCTAATGCAACTGAGTTTTTGGCAAAGGGCTTTTTCTAAAACCAAGTAAGATTTTTTTTTTAAACCTACATAACTGACAAATTGCCCGTAATATCTCTACCACCCACAAGCACTCAGTGTAAAACAATTTCAGTACAGTTACTAGTAACCTGGCGTTAGTTGTGTCAAACAAGTGACAGTGTCATGACACCTCACCCAATCCCATGATGGTTAAACTGAGGAATGCTGATTGGACACCCAAATACTAAGCTAGGCCCGTGGTCAATGCCTTTTATTTATTTATTTTGTTTTGCTAACATCCTGATCTCCAATACTGGGGATTGAACTTAGCCTTTTCACTGAGTTAAAACCCTAAACCTTTATTTATTTGTTTGTTTGTTTATTGCTTTTTAAATTTATTTTAAGACAGAGTCTCACTAGACGGCTGTTTTTAAGACTGATCTTAAATTTGTCATCTCCCTACATCATCCTCCAAGACTGCTAGAATTACAGACGTGTATCAACATGCACAGATCCATTAACTCCTCTTAAAAAGACAAAAAAAAAAAAAGTGGGATTCTTCTGCATGACTTGTATGAACAAAAGCTTGAGGGGACAATCGCCACTACATATTAATGTGTGTGTGTGTGTGTGTGTGTGTGTGTGTGTGTGTGTGTATTTGAGGTAGAGCAATCATTTAGTTGTATACATATATTAATTAAATCTTGCATGTTAGAAACATAATTTTATAATGTTTATTTAAAACTTTATATGACCTGAAGATTATTTCTTGATTTTATAGTTTATCACCAAATGTAAAAGTATGTTAATTAAAAATATAAAAATTCATCAACAGTACTAAGTTGAGTATGAAAAATATATTTGTGTATTGTTTATGTGATCTCTATGTTTATTGTCTTTTTATAAATCAATAGCATAGTTTGCTATAAAAGCACAAGTAAGATTCGAACTGTGAACTTCCCTAAAACTCTGACCACTCTGCACATGAGGGGAATTTTCTCCCACACTGCATTTCAAACTGATGATTTCAGGGCTGACTGTGAAAATAAGGATTCTTATGTTGCCAAAAGAAGAGACAATGGTACACTTTCTTTGAGGGGGGACAATTTGGTACATATTACAAAGTTTAGCTTAATAAATATTTGACAGAGGAATTTCATTTCTAGTCATATTTCAAACAAAATCCATTTGCAAGTAAATTATAGCATCATCTAGAAACATGTGGTTAAATTAACATAAAGCCTTTATATTGAGGAACACTAACCACCTTTTCAATAAAGTAAGTTAGCGTATACATGTAATCCTTCAAAAAGTTTCCCAATCTATACAGTAATTAGAAGAGAGTAAGATGCTAAACTATGGAATCAATCATCATTACTTTAAGTATCAGATGGATGAATTTATGATAGAAGTCACCCATGCAAAATCTTTTATTAACATTAATTGACACAAAGACGTGGGTGATTTTTAAATGACGAGGGAAAAGAAGTTTTAAGTTTATACTTTTTAAAAGGCAGTTTTAATTTTATTTTATTTCCTGTTGTGTTATTTTCCCCATTCTTTCTTTACTGCCTGCTCTGCCCGGGCTGTACTTACCATTGTGCCGCTCTTCTCATCTGTGACGTCAAATTTTTAATATTTTATAAACAGATGAGATCATACGATGCTTGTCTTTTTGTGTTTGGCTTATTTCATTCATGATAATCTTTTGAAAATAATTCATCTGTGCTATACAGGATATTTCTGTGTCTTGGTTATTGGGACTCCTCTGATTAATAAGTAGACTGGATGTTCTTTCATTATATTGATCTCATTTGACAAATACCTATTAGTAGTACGGCTGGATTATATGCAATTCTATTATTACTTTCATGAGGAAATTATCTTATTTTCCACAGTAGGTGAATTAACTTACATTTCTACGAGCAGTGTGAATGTATAATTTTTTAAATAAAAGTTATTCTCTTATAAACATAAAGCAAAATGTTACTTTATTCTAAATTTACTTTCTTCAGCAGGTTACAATTAATGACATGAAAACAACCCATGATTCCTTTAATTAAATAAGTAAAAATATATTTTATATGCACTGCATATTTTATATAATTCTTTTATACTGATATAAATTACAAAAATGGCTGTCACTATCAATTACTCTTCATTAACTTACTTATATAATTATAGCCCAAACATAACAAATGCAAATGTTCAAATATACGTGCAATGAATCTGTTGCTAAATAGAATGTTCTTTATTATCTTTAAGGTTACCATGATTTATATTATTATATGTTTTCCACATTCTACTGATTTTATTTTCCTTTCATTTACTAGACACTAGAAAACAAACTAAATCTCCAATTACAAAAACATGTTTGTCTCTTTCTCCTTTCAACTCTATCAATTTTTGAAGTATTTTTAAATTCTTGTTACACAGTTCACATTTAGGAATGTTAAAGTATTGACCCTTTGATAATAAAATAATTTCAAAATTTTGCGGTAGTATTTCTTGTTATGAAGTATTTTGTCTTAATTTTTACTATTCTATTATTTTTTAAAAAGCTATCATCCCTGTGTATTTTACCATGTTTTTACTTTATTGCATTTATAGATTTGAAGTGATAAAATCTTCTAAAAATATTATATTGCTTAGTATTATATTTTGTTTTGTGTTCAATTACAGAAAATCTGTTAAATGTTTGGATGCTGTTTAATGCAGTTATTAATATTAATTTTAAAATATTAATATTTTAATACTAAATCTTTCCAGTTGTTTGGTATATGTTTCAGTTGTTTCCTTGTTTGTCATTTCTCTGCTTTGCTTTTGGCTCTGTAAGCTACGTATTTTGTTTTGTTTTACCGCTTGGTTCATTTTTTATTCTCTTTTTTCGTATTTCAATTGTTGAACTAGCATTAACAACATTCACTCTTATCTAGCAGTAATATCATACTTCTTTCATAGAATAACACGACTTTTCAGTACTGTAGTCTCAATTACTCCTTCTAATTATAGGTCTGAAATTTTACTGTTTTGCTCATGCATATGCTAAAGACACGTGACCTCTGGCTAATATTCTTTTTCTTTAGATAATTAGCAATTTAATAGAGGAATTAAAAGTAATATAAATTAACCATGTTTTCACTATGATTTATTCCACTTTTAGTTCTCTCCTTTTAATATATATGTCCAAATTTCTGATTTGTGTCATAGTCTTCCTGCCTGAATTTTTTCTACAAAGTTTATGCACTACATATTTGCCAGGAATGAATTAGTTTCATTTCTTTTCTGAGAAAGCTGTTATTTTTTTTCCTTATTTTTGCAAGATATTTTCACTGAGACTAGCTTTCGACATTGATATTTTTAAATGCATTTCCAATGTTCAAGTATATTATTCCACTATCTCCTAGATCCATATCCTCTTAGAATGCACAGATTATGATAAAAAGTTGGATGTTTATATATATATATATATATATATATATATATATATTTTTTTTTTTTTTTCATACGGCTTCTTTTGCTTTTTAAAATATTCTTTTGGTTTTAGGAATTTCTGATGTGATATTCTTACAATTGTGTGTGTGTGTGTGTGTGTATTTATGTCAGTTGGCCTTTCCTGAAATTTGAAATTTCCATCATTATTTTTGAGAAAAATTCTCATTCTTATTTCATTATCTGTTCTTTTTATTCTCTGTCTTCTCATGTACATGGCCATTACATCATTTGTTATCTTTCCTCTAGTTCCAACCAGCCTCCCCCTTCATAAACATTCTTTTCTAAATTGTTTTTCTATTTATATGCCAAAACACTTTTACCAATTTATTTCATTTTAAAAATGTTTTCAATTAAAGCCATTCTTTTTGATATTTAGATTTGTATTTCTAAAATGCCCATCATTTTTTTTATAATTTCCATCTCTCAGGTGCAATATTCATACTCTTTTATATTTTCCACCCTATACACAAGAGCCCTTAGTGTAATATTCATAATACTAATTTTGTAAATTTGTGTATTTTATGGTCTCTGCTCTGTTGCCTGATCTTTTCACTAGTAACTTCTTTTTAAAAAAATGTTTTTCTCTTACTGTTTTACATGCTGTGCGGTGTGGTATGTTTTTAGAACTAAAGATACTCAAGTTAGTAGATTTTTAGTCTCAGTGTTACAAGTCTTCTAAATCTAGGTTTTGAATTTAAGACTTAGGGCCAATGTAATTAATATTTTGGCTTTGGCAGGGCCACTAGTTGAAATTCCCAACCTTTTGTTTGCAATTTCCCAGAGGAGATTTCACTAAATGTCTACTCTACTTTTGGTTTTGGTCTGTTTTGTGTATGGTGCCTGTGAAGGTCTCTCTCCATGGCACCTCCGTCCTCTCTATAACATTCCACTGGTGGTTGGTACCTGGTGATTTTTGATTGTTAGCCTTATGATGAGGAATCTCAGCTGTGTATTTTAGATTGGTGCCATATATCGTACTGGTGTCACTATAATTCAGAGTCAAGTCATTTCTTTTTATATCTATTTCCTTTTCCTTTTTTTTTTTTTTTTCTGGAAAATGTGAATCCATTGTTTGGGATTGAGACAATGGAAATTTGGGGAAAGAAGTAGTTACTCCAAATCTCATGTGTTCATTTAATTTATCTTGTCTCCTGGGTCTGTTAAAAGACATTCCAAATATAATTTTTCATAGTTAGATGATTTCCAGCTTCATTCTCTTCACCATTTGACTCAGGAACTTATGATCCTTTATAGGCATATTATCTTTACTAAAGCTCAATAACAATTCAATTACTTTTTAAAATATTCACCAAAAAGAATGAATCTCATGACTCTGCTTAATGTAGACTTTTACCAGCAGAAGATGTGATTTTTCAAATTTCAGTTAGCGTGATAGAGAGGGTGTCTAGGTATATACTCATCATTATTATTTCGAATCCTGTTTTGTGTT